CGACTAATGTCAAGTTCATCCTTCTCCTCAGCTTCCACTCCTCGTGTGAACGATGCCGTGAGGGGGTCGCAGAGGGGGACGCCCACGAGCGCGGCGAGCGTCTGTTCTGCCGAGGACGGTGAGAGTCGTACACCAGTCGGAGCTGTTCTTGTCAATCTTTTAGACCTGGATCCTCCTGACCTGTCCATCAAGGTGATATGTCATGGTGGGTGGCACAGACCTGGAGTCTCCTGACCTGTCCATCAAGGTGATATGTCATGGTGGGTGGCACAGACCTGGAGTCTCCTGACCTGTCCATCAAGGTGTTATGTCATGGTGGGTCACAGACCTGGATCCTCCTGACCTGTCCATCAAGGTGATATGTCATGGTGGGTGGCACAGACCTGGAGTCTCCTGACCTGTCCATCAAGGTGATATGTCATGGTGGGTGGCACAGACCTGGGTCCTCCTGACCTGTCCATCAAGGTGATATGTCATTGTTGGGTGGCACAGACCTGGATCCTCCTGACCTGTCCATCAAGGTGATATGTCATGGTGGGGGATAGACCTGGATCCTCCTGACCTGTCCATCAAGGTGTTATGTCATGGTGGGGGATAGACCTGGATCCTCCTGACCTGTCCATCAAGGTGATATGTCATGGTGGGGGATAGACCTGGATCCTCCTGACCTGTCCATCAAGGTGTTATGTCATGGTGGGTGGCACAGACCTGGATCCTCCTGACCTGTCCATCATTGTAATATGTCATGGTGGGTGGGGCTGACCTGACCACACCGGGGATGGTACATGACCTGTGGCCCAGGAGGAGCGCACACAAATAAGGGTCTGTGTGCCCGTTACTATTGCCTGTGTGCCCGTTACTATTCGGGGTCCTGGGGGGGGTTCGGCTGCAGCGTCGGGTTCTATAAAATGAAAATTTTTAGTGACGATCAGAAATAATGATTCTAAAAGAGCTTCAAAGTTTCTGCCCGGAGCTCAGCTTTCATTCAGAAATAATGATTCTAAAAGAGCTTCAAAGTTTCTGCCCGGAGTTCAGCTTTCATGGTAGATTCCCCGTGACAGGTTCCCTTTGAAAGTGATCTTGTGATCCCCTGCAGGACCAATCAGCGGCTACTCTTTAATCCGCTCTGTCCTGGAGGAAGGGAAGGCTCCTCACGTGTCATAGCTTACACAGGTT